CTTTGTTCTTCTTCAAATAAGCTTAACTCATTTGGAACTCAACTCTGTTTTGAAATCATTGTCTGGTAGAGACCTTGTTGATGCAGTGTAACCTTGTGTCTTGTTGCTGTGATCAATCTTGCCCTGACAAGAAACCATCTTTCTCAATAGCAACCAGACTGTTTATCCTAGCAACCAATTTGGCAGAAGTATAACTCGGCTAAGGAAAGGCATAGAGACATGGGATTGGAATTTATTTTACTCATAGTGACATTGGCAACATTTTTAAAAATACTTTTACAAGCCAGCACCATGGGTTGTGTATAAACTTTATCCATCTAGTTATGATTTATATGGACTATTTCTACTACATTTCACTGCCTTTCGTGACCTTTAAAGTTCCTATGGATTAGTTCTTCAGTAGTGTTACCTGGGCTGATGGCATTTTCAGTTGCATGTGCACAGGAGAACTCTGATGAGATTTCTCGGGAAATTTCCCGCAGAGCTTCTACAAAGTCTCCCTCCAGCTCACAGCCTTTCGCAGCATCCATTCGTTCCTCCATAGGATGTTCAGAAACAGACGGTGAGAACTCCAAAATTGACCCTGCTGACCCACGAGGACGGCTCTTATACACATGAGGTTTCACCGTCTTTAGAACATAAGGGTATTCACAAGAGTTTTGAGTTGGTTATACAACATGGAGCTATGTATGAAAAGTACATGGTAGGCCTAATAATCAGTTTCTCACCTCAGTTTTCTGGGCCCTGAATCCAGACAGATTGTAGAGAGTACAGTAGCCAATCAGACAGTTTCCAGGATAGAGGGGAGGAATTTCATTGGGGGACAGAAGGGCCTCAATGTTGTCTGGCAGATACCAATCAATCCGTACATCCGTCAACACAGGTTCCAAAGCTTTCTTTAGACATTTCATCAACTGAAAACAAAACAAAACTAAATATTGGCTTATTTTTTTAGGCAATTCCAAAGAAAAGCTGTTACTTTTTGAGATGTAAATATCACATACAGAATGTTTTTTGATATTAACAGCAAGTGTGGTGTTCGTGAGGTGTATTGTAAATGTGAAGATGATAAAGTGTGTTGTTTTTTCCCTATAGATGGAGCTGTGGATTCTCGTACCTTGGGCTGAAGCCTCTCTTCCTCACTGAGAAACTCTGTGCTGCCTCCTGTAACCTTAGCAACGCCCTGCAGTAGCCTCCGACAGGCTCGAGGACTGAGACCCACACCAAAGCACCTGTCGCAATACAAAATATATCACGAGATAGGCCTGCTTGCTTTATTTCATCTACATCTCTACTCTGTAGTGAAATGAAAATTAAAGGTAAAAATATTTTAAAAGCACATGGCCATGATTCCGAAGAGAATATGGTGAAAGTGTTGTTGTCCGATGGGACCAAAATAAAGCTGATTGAACCCTCCCAAAAAACACCATCTTTTCCATCAAACACGGTGGCTTTTTTCCCTGCCAAAGAGATGGGGTAACTTCTATGCACCAAAGGGGTATAGTCATAGATGGGATTTCAGGCATGACTATAATCTAAAATACATGGCCAAGGCAATAAAGGAGTGGTCCTGGAGTGCCCTAGCCAGACATTCATCCTTTAGGATTTTTGTGGAGGGAGCTGAAGGTTTTAGTTGCCACTTATTGACTTAAAGTGAATCTGGAAACAGCAGTTGGACAAAATCTTTTCAAAGATGAGTGCTAACCTGGTGTTAACCACAAGAAATGTCTGAACTCTGTGACTGACAACAAGGGTTGTGCCACCGAGTGTTCAGTTATGTTTGGTAAATGACTCAAATACTTATTTGCTTCATATTGTCTTTGTCTTTAAATATGCAGACTGATCTTTTTGTTTGGCAAAAATTATGAATCAGCCTGGTGCCAAACACTTATTTTCCCTACTTCATATTAATGTATTGTATCTTTTCAGTGTCATTCCTGTAATCACAATTGTATGATGTAATCCATTTGTCTTTCTCCAGCAAGAGATCACGTACGGATGCAGGATTGTGAGTTTGTTTGGTGTTCTCCCGATAATATAGAACATTTCACTAATTAAATGTCTGAAGGGAAATCAAGACAAGTGCACTCACATTACCTATTTGAAATTCTGGTCTGCTCTGGATCGAAAGCTTTCACATCTCTAGACTGAGTATCAATAAAGAATGTTGCTTTGAGGATATTGAGATATTAGTGTGTTTGTCTCAACTGAAGACAAGGGATCTCCAAAGATTGTCCCGATTTAACCTCGCCTACATTAAATAATTTTTTTCTGAGCCAGAAATCTATCTCAGTTTGTTAAAAGCTTAGTATTCTTTTTAAATACCAATGTCCTTACTTGATTTTTTTTACTGTTTGTTCTAATTAAATAAACGTTGCAATTACATTTAAAAATGATCCCCTTGCAGCAAATAACATTTAATCTGGGCATTCTCTGCCTCATCTCTAAAACCATTAGAGTCGATCTTCATGCTATGCTCTCTTTGGGCAAGATTTCCTGATTCATTTTGGATTGCATCTGGGTCTTATACATGAACCGACGATGGTCTATTAGTGAAACTCTCAGGAAAAGTACTATCTATATCCATCATCAACAGAAACACATAAAAAGGATGCTAAGTGTCATTTTTAGTCTGCATCATGTGCCATTTGTGTCCATTCAGGAGGTTGTCCAGGTGTTGCTCTTTTACTGCTTTTTTACATTCTGTGTGACTGCCTCATACTGTACAAGAATGAATGTATTCTGGGAGTAGTGTACCTGACATTACAGGCGTTCCTCCGGACTACTTCAAGGATGTGGCCCACGTTACTCAGGCTTCCATCCATGATGATAAAAACTTGCCGCGGGCGTCTTCGCTGGACAGGTTGGCGATAGACCCAGGAGAGAGCCCCCAACAGGTTAGCACTCCCATGATCTGTGCGCACCTTCTGGATGAACTCCAAAACCTGTCTCACTGTACTCTGAGAAATCACAAAAAAACTATTTTTACTTTTCTTCCAGGTTTTTTCTGTGAACATATACATTATTTAAGAAGTTTTGACATGCATTATTTTGTTAATTCGTAATATTTTTCATTTTTATTCATTTTTTACAGTCTATGGTCTGGTGGAACACAGCTTGAGCTTGTCAATCTGGATTTTCCACTTGCAAATAATTGCTAAAGTCGAAAATTTGATTTTTCTGCAAAGACAAAGCAGTCATCCCAAAATTACATTTGAGATCATCTTCTGAAGCTGTGTGGTGAGCATGTAAAACACTATTCCATAATGCAGCAAAACACTTGTGTGTTTGATGGTGGCATGCTGTAAAATGCATGACCACACCATATGGCACTGGCTGTTTTAAAACCCTCTGTCCTGCCAGACCCTGAATCTGCTTCAACCTGATATAGCAGCGTCATGGCAACCAGTTGCACTGACCTGGACAGAGCTTGTTTTAATCACGCAGAAGTTAACCACTAATCTCAGACACTTCCACAACCTAAATAGTAACTTAATTTCTCTTGGATTCAATTATTTATTCTGTGCGATTTATTTTATTTTATTTTTTGTATTGTTGCAGGGTGGGAGTGGTAAAAAAGTTCTCACGTCTGTGCAAGTCCTGCTCGAGCTAAACAAAGGCCTGACTGTAGAGCAGTATACGGCAAAGTTCAAGAGAGAGCAGGTCGGAAGACTCTTTATCACCACCAGCATCGCTTCCTGTCAAAGATATTAATGACAATGGAACAATATTTGTTATTTCTATATTATTACACAGATTTTAGCATTCATAGCCATTAAAACAACTCAGCTTAAGCATCATTTGCATACATTAAGGCCTAGTCAGCATAAACATTACATACAAATATTATTATTATTATTGTTGTTGTTTTCTATTGCATGTTGATAGCCTTGTTCATTTAATATAACCAATAGATACATGAAAATACACAAAAAGCTACAGATCATATAGAAAAAACTTAGTATATGTGAAATATGGCAATAATATAGTTGACGCAAATACAACAATTGTGGTTTTTTAAATGGAAGCTTGGTAAAACTTGTATCAGCTGTTGTACAAGGTACTGAGTTATAAGGTTAGCAAAGGAATGCAGCCAAGGACAAAAAAAACAATGTGTTGCGTTTTCCTGTTAGCTAGAACTTAATGATTTTAGGAGGAACAAAGGAAAGAACAGAAGAAGAAAAACAGATTGAGGCAACTTTTAGACCTCCATCTAAGGGGCCTATGGTCGACTTTTGTTTGGCTTTTTTGCAACACTTCAATAAACTTTTCATTTTGGAAGAAACAGGAACTTCAAATGACAGGCCTTGTGTGGGGAAGGCAAATTCCAATCAACAACCTTTAAATGCTATGAGCAGAGTAAGTGAGACACTCCCCTTGAGTGAAACAGGCTCAGCACCTCTCTGTGTAATACTGCGATTAGCGAAGAAAGTGTCACTGCACATTATTAGCAAAACCTTGATCTTGTTGATGTGCTGAGACATTGTGCTGCTGTTGTCAATGAGGAAGATGAGTTCTCTGCTGGCCTGCTGAAGATCTGTAGGTTCTGATAACAGATCTGGACAGAAGTTTAACATCAGCACTGGGTTCAAGAGCAGATCCTTATGATAGCGTCTTCGGAGAAACTCCAGCTGAGGAAAAGGCACAGGAACTAAATGTTTAAGTTACAATCATTATATTGTGTCTGGTACATCAATCGTACCTTCTTCTCAGACTCTGGCTTCTTGCGGGCATAACGAATGAAATCACACCTAGCCCACACTTGCTGCTCATATTCGCTGAAGGTCAGTCGGCCCCTCTCTAGGATGACCAATGGGCTATGAGGCTCTGCAAGAAACCACATCACTGTTTGTTATTTGATAAGTCTGTTTGCATATTGAGGAGGCGTTTTCAATTGGCTGACAGTGGAAAAACAAGCTTTTCAATGGGGAACTAAATGGTTTTGTTTTTAGCATATTTACATAAACTCTGCTTATATATCTGCTACCACTTCTGCTGGCTTTTCTGTGGCTCAGTCAGTAGAGCATTGCGCTAGAAACGCAAAGGTTGTTGATTCAAACCCCAGAGAAAACAAGAAATGGCAAAATATGTTAATTCCTTAACTTGTAAGTTGCTTTGGATAAAAGCGTCTGCCAAATGCAAAATTGTAAAAATGTAAATGTTAGAAATTCACACTTGTTTTATTTTTTTAAACTGTGTTTTAATTATCATTTTAAATGAAATACGTTGCTCACATATGATCCTTCCAAAGCTCTCAACAACTGCCTCTTAAACAAGCTTATCACATGATGAAAAACAATGAGCTCCCAAAACAATGCTCACTTTTACAAATCACGTTTACACATTTACATTCATTAGTAGTATAACTTTGCATCCAAAAGTGTTGCGTGATCATTTTAATGAGCATTTATGGGCCTTTTTGAGCGCTTTTTACTACTTTACAGTAATAATGACCTTTAAAATGCTTGATATCATTATGTAGTATCAGTCCATTTTTTTAAATACAATTCCAATTATTCCATTTTTTTATTTTTTACTTCAAAAATCAAAATATATTGAGAACAAACTTATTTTTATGTTTTAGAACACAAATCAGACAAAATATAAATTCATAAATCCCCCAAAATCAAAAACAAGTTTTAAACAATGTGAACATTTTATAAAAAACAGGCAAACCTTTCCTAAACACTTTTCTAAGCACTTTTGTGCCACTGTGCTTTTTTGTGCTAGAACATTGAAAATCACAAACCATATCACAGGTCTTGTACTTTATACAGCATTTTCTCTCATTTTAATTTGAATTAACCTGCAAACAATGTCATAACTCTTGTAATGTTGGTTTAAAACCAAAAATATAAAAACTAATAACCTTTTTGAAACCTACACATATTTAAAATGAAAATGACACAATAGGCAAGTAGTAGCGTGATTCCTACTATGTTCAAAACAGCTGGTTTGTTTGGCACATGCACCCGTGCTGGTTTCATTTCCATTCATGGAGATTTGCTGAACCATCCAAGAGGAATATATTTTGATGTCAGAATTTATTCTCTCAAGACAAACAGGTCTTTATTCAAACAGCTATATGCTTTATCTGTTGGAAACTAGCTAAAAACAACCAGTGCTAGCCCTCACCACTGAGATGCAGAATGATCTCCAGGGGTCTGTCACACGGATGCTCCTCGGCCAGTGTGATGTAGGTAGCTGAAGCAGATTGTGCGCTAGGATCAGCATCTGCTCGCAGGGCATGAGTGGGGCTCTCCAGACCTACAGACACACACTGCAAGAATGGGTTAAGGAGGCAGACATTTCAGGTCAGATTGGATTAGTTGCTCAGACAGCACATAATGTTGATGGGGGGCCTTGGGGAACTTGAGACAAAAGCAGAGAGACTTGTGAAACTTATAATAGTTCTGTCTGGGATTTGTTAGGTTCATGCGAAAGGTTAAAAGTTGTTATTTAATTTGCATGTATGCAGTTAAATTTCCAATGACTCAAATTCAGAATGTGTGTTCAAACCCCAAGTACATGTGTGGTATTATTTGATATGTAAGGTAAATCATATTGGATAAAAGTGATTGCACTTTACAGAAAGCTAAAGTTCTTATTTTTTAATGATATACACTCACATGGTCATAACAATTCCAAATTATATATTAGCATTGAAATCAATAGTGCAGCAGAAGTCTGATGAAAACAAGAAAAAGAGTAAAAAGTGGGTGGGACAGAATCAGGTGAATAATCAGAAAGTGGACCATTAAAGCTGGTTAAAAGATGCACAACTGAAATAGAGCATCCAGTTCATTTTAGAGCAGCACAACTGTGTTCTTTATCACCCTGTCTCCATCCCCGTCTTCTGCCTTGGTGCCCTGGAGACTCAGCCAAGCACTGCAGAGCCTCACGCACAAACTCTGGCTCCTTCTGGCAAACTCGCTGATATCTATCATCATCAATGCCAAGCTTTACACTAATTGGATTATACTAGAACACAAGCTGCTCCAGCAAGAACCTAAAGGCAAACTGAAAAAAGCCCCTGGAGACACAAAATGAGGCTGATGTATTAAAGGCAGTTCCTTAAAGAGAACAAGCACTGTAAAACCACAGGTTGCCAGAACTTCACCATCAAATATACGGTAGCACCGTTATTGGTTTTACAGGAGTGTACTGTAAATTTTAAAATGTAAACCATTAAAAAAATTTTAGTTGCTATTAAAACAGGTATTCCTGTACAATTCAAGGATTTAAATCATAATGATACTTTTCATGACCATATTTTTTCAGTGCAGAACTGTCTAATTTTAAGGTTTCTATTGGAATAATAACAGTTAATTACGGTACATTTTTTTTACAGCTCCTATCTCTCTCGTTTGTATTGAGGTTTGGGTTAATAATAGCAAAAAATTAGAATAAAAGTTTAAAAAATAAACTGGAATTTTTACAGTAAGCTGTGGTTGCCAAAATGTTATCGTCAAATATAAAGTAGTTATTAGTTTTACGGGATTGTACTGTACATTTTGTATATATTTTTTTTACATAATGTAATCATGTTTTTACTGTTTATAGCTGTCTAAATGCACGTGATCCCAAGGTTTTCTGACAAACTTTCTCCAAAACACATTTTAGAGCATTTAAAATCATGTCTTTTCTATTAGGGATAATACGATAATTTGTTATAAGTTTTAAATGAAAAATTTAAGGTCTTACTCTGTAAAACTTATTATACCTTTTCACTGTTAATTTTCTGGTAATCACGACAGTCTTTTTCTGAAGCACTTATACTGTATTTTGCTGTTAAATTTATGGACATATTTAACTACGTGTCATGTGCTGAGGAGGAACTTACCAGCCAGCAGACAGGCTCCTCGGACCAGCAGTTGAAAGCTAAACTGGTAAGGTACAAGGTTTGTGGCACAGCTTGTGAGAAGAGAGTGTGGACATTGCTGCCCTACTCCCAGAATCCTTTCTGCTTTCCCTGACACACTGCCAAAGCATGTCGTTGAGCTGAAGGAGAGACTGTAAAAAAGATTATTGCAAAATATTCTATAATGTATAACATAAGATGCAATCACATGCGTCATTTCAGGTTTCGGCTGTTGGGTGTTTTTTTATTGTGTCCTTATGGAATTTTAACGTTTAAAGTAAATGTGTTAACGCCTTTAAAAAAGTGTTCAATATGAAATTAACTTTACCCTGCTTCCTCTCCCCCATTCTCTTTCCTCTTCTCTTTGTTCACTTCTTTAATGTAAGACCGTGTGCTTGTAATGGAATCATAAGCTAATAAAGCCACATTTTCTGTTAAATATTCTTAAAAATTGCTTTCAGAGTCTTCTTTTAATCTTTCATTTAATATTCAACAACAATGGACAACCCGGAAAAAAACATTAGAAAAATGTCAGATTATTATTCAGTGACGTATTATTCATGAACAGAATTACTACATAAATATTGTTGTACAGTAATGAGCAGTTTTTAAGCAGTTGGTAACAAAACTTACTGGAATAGTCTTTGGATTAATTGTTAGCGAGTTGTTTGGAAATAAAGTGAAAATAAAAAATTTAAATGACATTGCCTTTCAAGCCTGTTCAGCTGACTATAACCACAATATGAGCTTTTTTTAAGATTTCTATTTGTCACAATTGCCTTTATCTATTTTAACTTACAGTACCTAGGAGAGAGCAAGGGAAGCAATGCAGGAGAGAGATTGGGCAGGGTTTGGATTGAACCTGTGTCACCCAGCACACCTACACAAATGTGTACAACGCACTCTCCACTATACCACAGTGCTTTTCAGTGAATTTTTTTATCTATTGTGTATAATCTATTTATCTATTGGTTTTCACTTTTTGACGTGATCCTGCTTCTGTTTAATTTTGATTTCAAATATAACGTGTAAGTTTCAAAAAGGTTGTGATTTGTGATATTTTTGGTTTCAAACAAACATTACAAGAGTTAGGGCATAATTTCCAAGGCAAATGTGCAAAATGTGCCATTGTCTTTCAGTGTCTTTTTACAGACCCCAAATCAGTGCCATCTAGTTGTGAAAAGAAGGGGTAACCATTGGAAGTACAATACCTGTGATATAGCTTATTTTTTTCAAAGCTCTGGCACAAAAAAAGCACAATAACATAAGTGCTTTGGAAACAAAAAGGCCTTGGAAAGGTGTCTGAGGTTTAGAAGAGCTTTGACTGTTTTTTTATTATTATTAAAATGTTCACATTGTTTTTACCTTGTATTTGCTTTTGGGGGATTTAGATTTTTTTACTTTGTCTCATGACTTGTTATTTAATTATTCTTTTGTCACTTTTAAATTTGTATTTTTGCAGTGAAAAAAATCCAATACTCTGAATGGTATTGTGTAGCAAAAAATGTATTGTTAAAAAAAGAAACTGGGGTAGAGCAAATTTATTACCTCCAAAAAGCCCCAGATTTCTAAGGGTTAAAAATATTTCAGTAAATGACAAATTAAAGCATTTTACCTGTTCTCCTCTGATTTCCCTCCACTTTCAATTTTCCCAGCCTGGTCCTGTGTTTTGACTATTGGAGTGAGTACCGTGGGATACACAAGACGGATTGCACCATTTTCAAGCGTGGGGAGTTCAAGGGTTGTGCTGATAACCACAGACACTATTTCCAAAGGTCCAATCTGGCCTGTGCTCACAATGAAAGTGTTCCTCTCCAGATCTTCATCCAGCAGCAGATGACCTGAGATGGAGTATGGTTTAGCAGTTACTCCTAAAATAAACTTTTAAAAGCAGAAACCTGAAACTAAATTTCCATCTGGTGTGTTTTTATAACCGTTAATTAATATTTCAATATTATTCCTATTGACTAAAGTAGGTTGTGGTTTTCTACAGGTACAACAATCTCTCACCGTTGGAGCACTGCATCTCCAATCCTGTTCTTCCACAGCATCCCCACTCCCTGCCTTGAGTGGCCTGGCTGTGGAGCACTGTTCCTGGGCAGCAATCCAGACAGCACTCCTCCAGCTTCCCTCGGCTCCGGAGCTCCACACTGACCAGCCTGCCTGACACCACTGCCTCGAAGCCAACCACCACCTCCTTCTCGCCCAG